GGTTTTCCTGTTTCTTTGCTGTTTGGTTTGTTTGTTTGGGTTTTTTTTCCATTCCTGGGTACTCAGTAGGCCTGGGTTTAAAGCTGCATGTGACCACCACAGCTCCCCAGCACTGGAGCCAGTGCTTCCAGGTCCTGTGTGCTCATGGCCGGCTCTGGCCAGAGGACACAGAAGATGCTTTGTGCCAGCAATGAGGAGACCTCTCCACAGGGCACCTTTCCATCTGACTCCTACTAGTTGAACTAATTATCCCCCACCTCTCCCCCTGCAAAAGCAAGCATTTAATATTTGCTGTGATTCTAGTTGGTGAAGAAATTTCAGTCTGCTCAAATATAAATATTTCATTTGATTCTGATGATATAAATTGCTTTTATGACAGAAACATTCCAGGACAAAATTCTTTCAGCCCCACTCTGTTGTTGGGCATGCGATAGCCAGGGAAAAATGAAACTTGAGCAGCGTTCTCGCAGGTCCTTGCCTTGGCTGTGTCACCATCAGATGCGCTGATTGGGTCACGCTTTCGGCTCCCGCAGTATCCAGATTGCAGGCCAGGTTTCAGCCCTGGCTGATTCCTGCCGAAACGTTGCTGCCAAGACAAATTTGGTTCCCTGCCCTTAGGAGAGATGTGCATGTTTTTCCAAGGGCAGTTTTGAGGGCCCTTTGGTCAGGGTCCCTGCATCTCAAGTGATGAGCGTGGTGTGCATGAGAGCAAGGAAACTGCCACCAGGTTCCTCCCCGTTCTGGTCCTGGAAACTTTCTGGGAAGGGAAATTGTAACCAACATGCTAATTCCTCCAGGATTTTCAAAACCCATTGAGTGTCTTTCGACCCGCATCTCCGAGATTTTGGTAACATTGCATTGCCTGGGAGGATGGGCCCTGAGGCCTGGCCAGCTCATGGCAGGAGTGGCTCTGCTTCGGACAGGATACGAGGGGAAACGCTGGCACCGCAGTGAAGGGCAGTGTCGTGCGGTGCCCAAATGACCCCCGGAGGACAGGCAGGGTTAGAGGACACCGTGCAAATCCCAGCTAAGTGGCACTAAGATGGTTTATGCTACAGTAATTCTCCGCTTTGTCTGACTTACTCCTGTACATACTGAAAAGCAAAAGTGTTTTCTGGAGGGCTGAAGGGCCTTTTCCCATTTTCCATTAGTGGTTTTTGCTATTACTTTTCTGCAGCTGCTTTTGCAAACTGCCCTTTGTCTGCCTTTTGGATTATTTGAATTTACGTGGACTGTACAACTATTTTCCCCATAAGAAAACCCAGCAAACTCATCAAGGAGCCTTCTTTGATGCTACCGCACAGTGATGCAGGGACCCAGGGTTCGTGTGGGAGCACAGGAGCTGTGCCCCTCTCCTGAGCATAATTTTCTAATTTCAAATGTTTTTGAGTCAGAGGAGCTTGGGTCAGAACTATAGCAAGAAAATAGTATGTAAAATCTGCTCTAGCCACTGTTATTTTCTTCCTCTTTCTGAAACTGCATTATTTTAAATGCCCTTTCAGCCAGAGCACTTAGTGGTAAGATTTTTGAAGGGTGCTTTTGTTCTGCATGCCGTAGTGTGACTTCTCAGCGAAAAGCAAAAAAAACCTGTCAGCTCTCCCCAGGTGCCTGTGGTGAGGAAGGACAAAGGCATTTTCTTGGGAAATGCAGCATTGTTCTGCCGAACTGAGAATAGGCGTACGGGAGTTACTCCAAGTGCAGCTTTCTTCGTTAATTATTTGACATCTGTCTTGGGTTTTATAATCATTTGGAAAGCTTTGTGGGATCCGTGCTGCTAAAGGCAGGACTGAATGATGTGTTGTCTAGGTCTGTTTGGGAAGGGTGTTTTTTAAAAGAGGTGTTTTATATGAAAATATTAATTTTTTTTCTGACATAAAAGCCACTTCTAGGCATTATTAAATGAAAAACCAAACCTTTCCACCATCTGTGCTTTTAAAAACACTTCCATTATTATCTTCCCCTCCACTCTGCTTTTCCTTGCTCCCCAGTAGACTGAAGGTGAAAGTTTGAAGAAGAATGGAAAGGAAAATAAATCTGATTTGAAACAAAATTAACATTTCAAGCAAGTTCCTTAAAAAGAAAAAAGTGAAAAACAGCAGTAATGGATTGTTTTCCCCAACCGTTCTATGAATTATTATTATTAAAATGTTAATTTATGGTAACATTAAGAACACTTAGGAGTATATTGGTCTGGTGAGAAATTCCTGGAGTGCTGGGGATGTATTGGAGCTCTCCAGCTTCATCTGGCTGTTCCAGTTGCCTGCTTTCTACCTCCAGTGTGATTTCTGAGCTGGCTTTTCTCCTCACCAATTTATTTCTGGCTCCCTTTAGTCTTTGCTTTTTATTTATTTGCTTGTGTTTACAGGTGTGGTCTGTGACCTTTTTGGGTGGACTTAGTTGAGTGACCCCCTGTGCTGCAGTCTGGGGTTTTGCACTCTCTGACCCATTGCTCCTCTGGTTGCAGCCGGAGATGCTGTTGTTTCAGTGTAGCGATCCCAAATTGTGCAAGAAGTTAATGAGACGCCGCTGCAATTGCAACATACAGGGGCTAAATGGCAACATGCTCTTTGCTGTCACGAAACAAAGTGGCTTTTTTTTGAAAAGACAGAGGAAACTCTTCCATTCCTGGCAAGACTGGGGTGGGTTGTAGTCACAGCGTTGCAAAACCCACGCTCTCACTTTGCAACACAAGGGGTGCAATGCTCTTTGCCCGGTTTTGCTGACAGAATCGCGTTATCCTTCCTGGGGGGAAATGATGGCGTTGTGTGACCACAGAACTCTTGTGTTAATACCTTTCTTTTTGGGGGTATATCACAGATTTTGGGTGGTTTAAAGCAAAGCATGAGAGTGCTAGCAGCACTAGTACAAAAGAATTGGTCCGTGTGCTGCGTTAGTACAAACCATCAGACTCTGTGGCATGAATTTAATTCCAGGAGGTGGTGATGACTCCCCTTGACACTGTGTGCATCCTTTCCTCAGCCCCTTGTGTTTTGTATCATGTATATTGTATATATTGTTGATATTTTTTTATAGCAGCCAAGGCTGTGGTCAACTGAGTCCCATAATGGAGAAGTTGGTGTAACCTGACAGGCCCTGTGTCCATCTGTCTCCACTGATATAATCTCCAGAGCCTGGGATGAACCAGGAGAAACTCACGCTGTGTAGGGCTTCTTGGTTCTTGCTCTACCCAGCTATAAAATTCCAATTTTCCTACTAACAAGCAGAGCATGGAAATCTCAGATACCTTGCTATGGGAACAGAGACTTGGTCGCTTTTTGGGACAGTTGAAAGGAGTGTGTTCCTATGAGCATAGTTAATGGATGTAAATATTAGCTCGCTGCGGAGTGCGTGTATCACCGAGTGAAATGTAGTAGTTGACTTTGGCCTCAGGCCACAGAAATCGCCTTGCTCTAAATGAGAGAAACTCATCCAAAGTCAGTGGTTGTTCCTGCTTGCTTCAGGGCTGAACTCAGTCTGATTGTGCAAAACGCAGGAGAGAAGCACTGGAAAATAAGGGTGAGTTAGACACACTGTGAGTTTATCTAATGTTAAATGGAGAGGGAAACATGAGGGATATTTACTATGGAAATAATCCCCCCACTGTTTACACTCCCTCTCTTCCAGCATCTGAATGCCCCAAAGTTCCTCAATTCCCACCAAAAGTGCAGCATGTTGGTTCTGTCTGTCTAATCTGATGGTATAAAGATGTTTTCTCTTTCTTCAGCATTTCCAGAGAGGAGGAGGACTTAATTTTGTTTCCTCCCCATAGAGTTGTCTTAAGTGACACTGAGAGATGGTTGTAGATGGTGACAGAGAAGGGTTTCATTAGCAGCTGGCATTTCAGTTTGGATGAAGGAGGTAGAGGATAACCAGCCCTCTCAGCTGGGCCCCAGGGAAGAAAACTCACCTTTTTCCCAGCCTCTTGCCCATTTCTGAAGGCTTTCTGGACTTTTGCATGGACTGTGCAAGAAGAGCAGCCTTGCTCTGAGTTGTCTTTGTCTCCTGGAGATGAGCACAGCCGAGGGAAAGCGTCGTACAAGGGCTTTTCAGATGCCAGCACTGAAAAGGAAGGGTTCAATATCCGTTGCTGGATTTTGAGCAGTACAGGACACACGTCCCATTCTTGTTAATCTCTGCAATCTGTGCAATTTTAGGTGCTCTCTGCTTATGCTCGAAGCCCTTCTGCATATATAATAATGTATATATACGCTATAGGCAGGTTTGAGGGACGTGTTTAAGGGAGCTCTGTGGCTTTTCTCCCCACCCTGGTGAAGCAGATTTCCCTGTCATCATCTGACAGCGTTACCATGCTCATTACTGCATCTGCCCGGCAGAGCTGCAGTGCTTGGGCGAGGTTCAGCCCTTTAACCATCTCTTCTCCCTTTGTGCTCTGACAGCACCGAGGAATATCAAAAGCAACCTTCGCCCCTTTAATGAGAGCATCTAGTAAATGTCAGCTTTTGTCACTGCCAGCTTAGAAGTTGCATCCTGGAAAACCTAGAAACATGGGGAAATTGAATTCTAGTGAGTGAACAGCTCCAAGAGCCAGATGCCAGATACCAGAGCAAGTGGCAAGTGAAACTCTGGCAGTGTACATTTATCTCTGAGCGTGTGCACTGGCAGAATGAGGTTTCAGCAAGGGACTTGAGTGTTTCTGGGGTCAAATATTAGGATTTCTGGCCTGCAAGCATCTACCTTGTTCCTTGTGCTCATGGACATAGACTATGCTGTGGTTTAAGTCGGGGAGCTCAGCTGTCCTCTGCTGAGCCATCACCTCTGAGGCTTGGAGAGTATGCACAGCTGCCCGCAGGCAGGACAACACTGCCATACAGATGCTGTTCTTAAGGAATCTTAATGAAATAATAATGAAAAAGAACATATCAGAATTAAAGGATCGTTGGGTGGGCAGAGGAATACACTCAGAGTTAAGAAATTGTCTACAGTGATGAAATACTGTAAAATAACCAAAGCTCTGTGTGCTTTGTCTCAGCAGGGTGAAGATGGTTGGGGTCCTGCTGGTTACACTCTGGCTGTACATGGTCACACTTGGCAGCGGATCTGGTAAGGACATGGCATGCAGTGGGTCGGCCTGCTTAACACTGATCTGATTTTTAAGCATTTTATGGTACTATTGGATGAAATGGTCGTATGTAAAACACCTTAGCAATATACATGAACACAATGTTTGTTCTGTGGGACTATTGTATAATACTCATGCATAGAGGCATGGTGTCACTGGGTGGTTAAGTGAGCAGCAATAAGCACTTTCTCAACCCAAAAGTACTTGCAAATCCAAGCTGCCCATTTGGTCAATATTGTTATTCCCCTTCTGCGAGTGGTGGAACCAGGGCTTGGCACATGGTGCTGAGTTGCAAGCGGGACCTGGGCTTGAACCTGAACTCTGCTGTTCCTGGTTGGGTCCAGAGGGGGTTGAAATTCCAGCTCTCAGATTCTGACTCACGCCTCAGCAACGCAAGGGGAGAGAGGGAAACTTCTCAAGTGAGAGGAGCTCTCATACCCATCTCACTGACTCACTTTCCTGACAGGAAATATGTTGTCATGCTCGCAGCTCCTCTGGCACGCGTTCAGCCCAGCTCTTGTGAAGAGGCAGATTGTGTGCGTCTCAGCTCCGGACTTCCTATTTGGGGGTGGAAGAAGACAGGATGATTTGCAAGAAGCAAGTGGAAAGGGGGAGGGAGGAAAGAACAGGCGCTGGCTTTATAGGGGGAAATGTTCAGAAATAAGGGCTGTGCAGGGGATTGAGCAAGTTCTCCCATGAGTCCTTGCCCCTCTGCAGCACTGGCAAACACACAATTATAATACCTTGAGCAGATGAACAGCTCTTGCATCGTTGTCTCTTAGACCAGGCTGAATTATTGGGACCGATTCACACCACACACTCCAGCAGGGTTCAATTCAGTGCAGGGCTCATTGCAGAGGCTGAAGGCTTGGGCGACTTTTCCCCTTGGGTTGCCCAAGGGCTGCAGGCATTCACAGTAGGGTGTAGCTTTCAGTGGGCCATGTCCCATCCTGGCTAACAGGAGCCTGGTTAAACTGGTGAGCAATGGGGAAACAGCAAAGCAGAAGGAATACATGGCCCAAGACCCTTTCACTAAGTCGTAGGAGTTGCCTGGGGAAGGAGGGACCCAGCAGCAGGGATTGCTGCTGCCAACTGGGAAAATCCCCACTTTGCTTCTGGACGTGCTGTTCTGCTCTCCTCCAACGCAATCTCCTCCTGCTGAGGCAGCGTAACGACACCCCACGTGCAGTCATCTCAGGCTTTTTCAGAATTGGGAGGTGGGTGCAAGTGAATCAGGATTGCCCAGGAAATACTAGAGCAACTCTAAAAGCTGGGACTGTCAGCTGGGAGCCGTGAAATGAGCACCCTGGCGTTTGGGTCACACAAGCTCGTGTCAATTGATTTGGCAGAACCCACCATGCATTTCTCCAAGGTAGTTCGTGCTTTTCAAATATACCTCCTTCAGCAGAGGTTTTCTGTACAGGATGCTTAGAGCCCTTGTAGAGTGCTGCAAGAACATAAGTGTCAAAGGGTGGTGCGTGGGATACATGATCAGTTAAATAAATTTCTTCTGCAAATCCAATGTATTATATGCGTTTAATTTTCAGCAGGTCTATGGTTGACAGACCCACTCTTGAGTTCAGAGCTCGCTTTTTGCTCCATGGACACCATAAACCACTTTGGGCTGTCAAAACATCTTTTGTTATTCCTGATGAGCTTGTATGGCTGTTTGTACTTGGACAGAGGGGCAGCCGTCTGTGCAGCCCTCTGTTACACTGTGGGGTTTCCTGGGACTGGCACCAAAAGGCAACCGGAGAGCATTTCATCCTTGCAAAGTCATAAATACAGAGCAGTGTGGAAGACTGGTAATGATCTGGTAATGTTACAGCATCTGGGCTTGCTTTTTCTTTGTGGTGAGGAGACAGAGCAGAGGTTATCCAGAGCAAGCACAGGAGGGCTGAGTGCTGTTTGCTGCTGCCCCAGTGGTCTCCTAACACCACGCAAGACCATGGGGATGTTTCTGCTGTGTGTGGAGGCTGGTGCTGAAACAAAATTGCTTGCTGAGAGCTGGAAGAGGAAAGAAATGGGATCAGAGTAGTGTAGAGTAAAAGATGTGGAGTCTAAGGCTGAATTTGTGCTTGAGTCTGCTACTCACTCATGCTGTGTGCGCAGGCAAATCTTCTGATCTTGAGAATATAAGTGATCTGCAGTGCCTGCGTTTGAATTCCTTATTCATGACCTTTGCGATGTTGATTGCAGGGTCTTCTGCTTTCCTCGTCTCAGCTAAGCAATCCTCAAGATGGACATAATGCTTAAATCTGTGTGCTGATGTTGTAGGGTGCTTAATGAATCCAAATGTTTCAATATCCAGAGACGGAGAGCAAAAGCTCATGAACCCGGTTTTGGTCTTACAATGATTTCTTTGGCACTACTGAAGTCATTTATATATACACTGGCTTAAAAGAGATGAAAAACCAGTCATACAAAGACCGTAACAGGCAGTTTGAATATGGGATAATGTTATCATCTTGTTTTCAAACAAAGCTGACCTATGTTAGATACCAACTTATTTAGAAGATGTAGCTGTGTTTGAGCTCCGTATTTCTCTCTCTGCTAACCAGGCTGCTCTCTCACCCTCTGAGTTCCCAGCTTTTGTAGGGTGAGAGAAGGAAAGCTGAGAGGAGCATCATGGTTAGGAGTGTGTCTTGGGGAAATAGAAAAGCAGAATATTGCTGCCAGGAGGAGGAGCAGCCTCATGTGTGAGGTGAACCCACCTAGTGTGAACAGGTAACTGCTCTACATAAATAGCCCTTTGGTGAGAGGAAGTTCCACGTTTGCATAGGAAACTCCTCTGACAGCTCCTCTGACAGCTGCTCTGAGGCTATCAGACAGGGGCCAGCTTCTGCCCGCAGTGACACCCAGCACTGCAGGAGGTTAGAAGCCCCTGTCCTTGGCCTTTTATTTCGCTTTTGCTGTTACTTGCTGGATTGTAAGCCTACCTCTCACGCTCCCCCATACCAAAGGCTCTCAGGCAGCAGTTTTGTCCCCTTTGAAGTCAGCTGCAAAGCGCCAGATATCACTGGTGCTCCTGGGTCCAGGCAGTGGCTGGAGCAGCAAAGGTCTGACCAGAGGCACGTCCAGCTCCAGAGGTCAGCGCTGCTGCTGCACCGCGGCTCCCGAGCCCCGATCCACACTGCGCTGTCTCTCTTGCACTTAGGAAAGAGGCAGAGTAGTTACTTATGGCCAGGGGAAATTTTCAGATTAATAAATTACTGTCTGTAAAACACTTTGAAGATGGAAAGCCCTGCGCAGCTCCTCAGGATTATTACTATATAGCTCTTATTCTACTGATGGGGTTCCAGTGGCCTTATTTTCCTTATGATTTGTGACAGCCCCAGAAGCTGAGAAGCTTATTTTAGTGTGTAAAGTCAAAAGAAAAATAGATTAAACCGCATTATTGTTTTCTAAAGAGACTAAATCCCTCCCCCATCATCTTCTCTTGGGATTTCCTGACTTCCTCCTACTCTCCCAATTTCAGCTTCTTGCTGTCCTAATTTAGGACATGATTTTATAACCATCCATACCCATCTGTGAGTTACTGTGGTTGTAGAAGTTTATGGCGCTTGGGAGCATGAAGTTATTCAACAACAAAGGTGTTGAGAGGTGCACAGCCCTGAGGGAGCTTGTAGACCCTTATGGTGCGTTTTATTGCCTGCTTCATTTTTCTTCAGTTCCCATCCTCATCCAAGGACAACCACTGCAGTGTTTTTTATATGCAGACATCCCAGTGGATATCTGTGGTGGGCAGTGCAGAATTGCTGACTGTATTTTAAAGCAGGCAGTAAGTGCAATAGTGAGGCTGTGTGGGTTTAACTACGCAAGCCTGTGGCAGAGCCAGGAGTTAAGCCTGGACCTTGTCAGGTCCCAGTCTGATGTAGAGCACGTCTCTATGCTGGTGCTTATCAGGTAAACCTCCTTTTCTCGCTGCTCTCATATAGATGACTTTGCAACGGGCTGTTACGTTTCCTCTCTCTGTCTCTCCTCCTCCTGTGATGCTCTGCTTTGCTTCACACAGCAATTTCCTCAATGAAGTGGGATGGAAAGTAGCTATTTGCTCCTTTTCTCCTTCAGGCTTTGAAGCAGTTCATATCCCTACCTTTATCGTTTTGATCTCAATTTGAAAAAGAGCCTCCAGGAAAACATGTCAAGCTTGCTAGAAAAAACGGAATACTTTTTTTTTAATATATTTTTTTCTTTTCCCCTCAGTTGCTGGAGGTAACCAAAATACTCTGTGCCACATGCAATAAACACAGCTTCACGCACAGAGAGTGAAGGCATGGAGCTCCCTGTGGAGGAGTTTTAAGACACAAACAACTGCCTCTGCCCATGTTACAGGCTGTGCTTGATTAGATAAGGAAATTTGAAGTTGGGAGCTCTGGGCTCCATTACAAAATCATCGTTTTTTGGATGTTGTGCCTTGGCTGCATCCTCTGAAGTTCTGGCTGCGCTGAAGCCAACAGAAGTTTATGCTGTCAGCTTGTTTTGGACAGAGGCGCAGACCTTTACACCTATTTAAACTATAATTTCAGGATCTAAAGTTAAACAACCACAATGTAGAAGTGCTTTTGGAAATGATGACCCATTCTGCAGCAGAGAGTTCTCTTCCTTTTTCCTTTCTTGTCTATTTTAATCTCGCTCTGAAGAGAGAGAGAGGTGCTCTATCCCTGTGTGCAGCATCCAGTGGAGCTGCTTCCGCAGGAGCGTCAAAGATCAGCAGCAAGTTGGGAAGTGGAAGAGTGGGTGCTCCTGGCATCCACGTAAGTGGAAGGCGCACCCACCCAGTGAGTACTTCCTATGCTCTCACTGCTGCTCCTCCATTCAGCCCAACTTCCTCTGCTTCCTTCTCACTGCTGTGAGCTTGAAAGAGGATCAGGGAAACATTTTTTTAAGGTAGTAATGATTAATTTTCACTTAATTGCTTTGCGTGACCGGCTTTTTCTGATTTATTGGTGCTGATTCTTGCATTGAGCTAACGGCTGGCCTGGCTGCGCTCCCTGTGAGGAGGCTGACTCACAGCAGCTTTGCTTTAAGGTAATGCAGCAGGGGATCAGCTTTGCTTTAAGGGGTGGCCAAAAAAAAGGGGGAAGATGTTAACATGGCACAGCCCTATCCAATGCTGAAATGGGCTGGGGAAGAGGGATCTGCCATGTCAATGCCGAAGCATTGATAGCTTCATGTCCTGCTGCCACCACACAGTCCTGGTCTGCATGCAAGGCAGGCTCCCCGCCCGAAATTAGAGGTGATTAAGGAGGGCGCATCGATTTGGCAAATAGCAGGGTAATTTGTGCTGGCGTGATAGATGGCCTCTCATGAGGATGGCTCTTTAGCATTTCTTCACAGAAATTTTCACTAGGGGAAGTCTTTGTTTGTAGCCCCAGAGGAGGGAAGGGATGGAGGCGGTGTGGAGCTTGTGGGGTTTTGGTGGTTGAGAATTTATCTTTAAATGGAGATACTAAAAATGACTGCATAGAAATGCCAAACTGTGGACAAAATGTGACCTTACTTTCTTTTTTGATCCATGTGTTAAGCAGTTTGTCTCTTCTTGAAAAATTCAAATAATTGCATCAATTTCATCCGCTTTGACTGTGTGGGTGCTTGGGATGGGTGCTGCAGATGCATCTCAGTAACACTTCAGGTGTGTGTATTCAGAGCCCTGTTCCCAAGGGTGTAAATCAGTGCAATAAGTAAAAGCTTGGGGAAGGTTTCCAGAAATGTCTGTTTTCACCTTTTATACAGCCGAGCAACATCATTATTTTTCTTTCTCTTGGTTCCTTTTCTTCTTTGCATCTGGAGAAGCCACTTTCTTCAGCTTTGTTTGGCCTCTGAGAATGGTTGCCTCTTCCCTAGCCAAGAAAACAAGGCCTATATGTTGCTTTTGAGTAATCTGTGAAGAAAAAAAATAAAATAGTTATATTTATTTTCAGTAACTCAGGTAGAATGGGTAGGTAGTTCTACAGTGCTGATTTATGAGCTGTTGCAAAATGAGAGAGCTGTTCATGATTGCAGATTTCATTGATCTTGACTCCAAGAATTTCAGCACTGTAATGTTTTATACAGTTTTCTTCCTCTCCAGTCCTGCCATTTGAAGTAATAAGGACAATTTGCCTTTATGCAGCCCAAGAGGAGACAACAAAGTCAGGTGTTGGGAAGAGGGCTCAGATGTCCTGATATAGACCCATGTCTGCTCCTTTCAGAGGGAAAGCCTTTCTTTAGAAAAAGAAATGCATCCCTCCATGAATAGTAATCAGTGCTTTATCATGCAATTAGCAGGCAGTCTCTGGCAGGCTCATTTGTCTGATCTACCACTCTGTGGAAAATTGACCATGTCTTTTCCAGTAGCTTGGCCCAACCAGTGTAAAGCAGCATACTGGTTCCAGTTGGCGTTGACCGTGGTGGGTTTGAGGTTCGTACCAGCAAATACTTGTACGCTGGGTAGCTTTACTGCCTCTTCCTAGCCCAATTCTCTCTCTCCCTCCAGAAGTAGCACTCTGTCATATGGGTGTTTGGCGTAGCACAGGAGGAGCAGGACAGTTTGCATTTACATTTATGTGTAAACCTGACAGAAAACATTTCTATTCTTACTGGCCCAGATTCCTCCTCGCTGTGACTAACCATTGCTGAGCCACAGGAGCTAGAGCTGCTGCCTTAAAGCGCTGTGGGCCCGTCTTCTCAAAGGTTTATCTCTTTGCTTTTTTTAATTAAGTATGAATTTGGGGCCGAGATACTTCCCGCTGTCTATTTAAGGAAGATAAAATGCCAGAAATCCTGCTTTGGGCCTGTGTAGTCAGTTCAGAAGAACTGGGCTCAAAGAGCATATTGTATTCTGCTTTTCCTCTCGGTCTGAGGAGTTTTAGTATCTGCAAATGGGAGAGGCTTTGCAGCGTCGTCTCTGGTGTGCCTGTGATATGCTGAGACGTTGCTCCTGGGGACCGCTGCAGGCAGCACACCCCTCTCCTGTTCGGCTCATTTTTGGGCTCCCAGATGTCAGACTGCCCCAGCTGATGCCTCCCAGCAGCTACAAGAGAAGCGCTGGGAAGCGTGCGGTGCCGCGCTCTGCCTCGTCAGCACTAGGAGACAGGAGATGCAGTGACAGCGGCTTCTCCGTGTGCCTTGGCCAGCGCCGGCAGTGCAAGTCGCTCTCAGGTTTGCTGACGCCCCGGTGCTGTGCTTTGCTTGCGCAGGGTCCCTTTGCAACTGGGCAGCCTGATGGGTGGGAGGAATGGAGTGGAAAGTTGCTCTCAGGAGAGAAATGGATTTTGACTGTGCTGTTTATCCTGAAACTATTCGCTAATGACAAGAATAAATTAAAAAAACAAACCAAAACCCACCCCCCCCAAAGCCAGAATAAAACAAAAAGACACTGAACAGCTTTGTCTGATGCTGCCCAGTTTCTTTGTTAGCCCGAGTCTGCAGTGAGCCGCACTGAGCCTATCGAGCTGAGCTTGGGGATCCCCAAAGTCTGCCACCTCCTCCATGTTCTTTTCTGCCCCTCAGTCTTCCTTCCCAAACTGTGTTATAAACAGTCACTACGTGTCACTTGTGCTCGCTGTGTTACCATAGCATGTGCAGGTGTTGCCTGAACCCTTCACAGGAAAGACTGTCCTTGCTCCCACAACCCGCAGTGCAGCTTCTGGCAGGGGCAGTGGTCCGTACCTCAAAGGAAGGGTTGATGTTTGCAATGTTTAATGTGAGCATGGACGCACACCTGTCTCTAGCATTGTTTTAATCCAAATGTTATCTGCCCACACTGGTTATTTTTAGGCTTGAATTTTCTTGGAGCTCTCTAGGAAGCCTGGTGTTGTGCAGGAATATCTGGTCCTATCCTATTGTCCTGATGTCCAAATTAGCTTGGAAGGAGGTGTACAAATGAAAGTAGAGGCTTGCGGGTTCTCTGGAAATGAACACACTATTCTTGCTCTGCTTCGCAAAAGCTCAGTTTGCTTCCACTGAAAACACAACATTTTTGCTTCTGATTTTAATGCGGACAGGACCAAGGGCTGTGGGGCAGAATTGGTTTTCTCCTGCAGACTTGCAAGCTGAGGTACCTTTCTCTTCATGGTTGCAGAACGCTGTGACGACTGGGGTGTGGACACCATGAAACAGATCCAGATTTATGATGGGGAACCTGCCAAGATCAAATGCCCCCTTTTTGAGACCTTCTTGAAGTATAACTACAGCACAGCCCATTCTGCTGGCTTAACCCTCATCTGGTACAGGATCGGGCAGGACCGGGATCTGGAGGAGCCCATTAATTTTCGTCTCCCGGACAATCACATCAGTAAGGAGAAAGACACCCTTTGGTTCTGGCCTGCTCTTCTCAATGACACTGGGAATTACACGTGCATGCTCAGGTAGGTTGTGCGGTGCAGCTTCTGTGTGTCTTCAGCGTAACTGAAAGACTTTCAGGGAAGCAGGAAAATTATACTGTTAGCACCAGATATTTCTGTAGGGAGAAGACCATTTACATAAATATTAATGGGAAAGGAATGTTACAATTATAAGACTGCTCAGTGCTGAGCCAATTTACATCGTAATAATGCTTGGAGCCTTGCAAACATTAATGAACATGGCTCTCCTTTCTAGCTGCAAGTGCCCATGAAAATATTGCTAAGCCCATGGCAAAATCCACAGGCACTCACCATTAAGGAGTGATCTGTATGTCTATAGTAAAAATAGCTTCAGATGCAGGGGTAATGTTTTGACTGCACGCTAATTTGGCAAAGATTCATGAGAATCAGACTTCTAGGAAATTAAAAGTGTCTCAAAGTGTGATACAAAATGAACATAGCATCTGCTATGCACTGAGCACAAGAGCTCTTTTTGATCTTCCTCACATTGTCTCTTGTTCACGGTGGCTTTGACCCTATTATCTGCTTTCCCAGCAGAGGAGTGGATGTTGCTTGTTAGTCATCTTTATAGGCTTTTCTGAGCTAGCGTGGCCATCTCTGACGGTGGTTTTGTTCCCATTTAGAAATGAGTCAACTAAGTCAACCTCATCAGCGCTATGATGCTCGTTATTGCAGATGTGATTTTTATTTCATGCCACTGCTACAGGAGTAAACACATTTCAACTAATCAGCCCTGTCCTCCTCTCTCCTTAGAAACACAACCTACTGCAGCAAAGTTGCATTTCCCTTGGAGGTTGTTCCAAAAGACCAACGCTCTTGTGTGAGCCATTCGATAAAACCCACTGAGGAGATGTTCTACTTGGAACACACCAATGAGAAGATCATATGTCCAGATATTGATGGGTTTTACCCTGCTAGTGTAACGCCAACTGTCAAGTGGTACTTTGTAAGAAGGATTTTTGTCTTATCTGGGCAGTGGGGGAACTCAGTGTTGTATCTGAGAAAGCAACGCTTGGCATGAGAATCATGGAGCTATGTTTCAGTGTCTCCCCAGCAGTGAAGCTGTTAATGCAGCTTTACTAATATTAGGAGCTTTGTTTCTATTGAGTTCAAGGATAAAACTGCCCATGAAGGAACTTTAATAAAATTGAGAGCCAATACTGGATTTTTTTTTTGACCAGTATGTGCAAGTAGAGGATGCTCTAGCAGAGATTTAGGAACCTGAGTGCAGCTGCTGGCAGTATAGCTGGCCTGCTATGAAGCAAGGCACTATCCCTGTAAATGAAACTGTGATTTGTATTCCCTCTTCTGTTAAAACCAAAACACGGAATAGCACCCTTTCCAAAATACTTTGAGGTCAGGAAATGAAGTTGTACATCAGGTCTCTGCATGGGTACCCTGTTTGACACAATCCAGCAGATTTCTGAAGATGGAGACATCCTCACCCCACCCTCTGCACTGCTCTGATAACTTGGCTGTTCCCAGCCCTCCTCAGGCTCTTGCCTACAGTATTACTGCTCAATTTTATTAAGTTTTGACCTCGGTGTTTTTCTCTGGGTGGATGCCTTTAGTCAAGAGAGAATGAGAATTCTCAGGGGATGTGCAGCCAGAGCGTTGTGGGACTATGAATTCTCTAACTGCTTATAAAGCACTTTTGGATTTCTAGATAGAAGGTTCTGTATGAGTGAATTTAATAATAGAAAAAGCTGGCAACAAATATATCTGCTGATTAAAAAGAATAAAATTTAAGAAAACCACCACAAAAGAAAAAAAAAAAACAACTCTAAAACCCTTCAGGGAAAATGTACCTTTTTATCCAAGAAATGCTTTAGTTGTACCATTCATTGAAATTCACATCTCAACAATCAATTAGCAGAATGAAACAAAAAGCCCCATAGAAGTAATTTTTCAGGCAAGTCATCCCACGCCTAATAAAAATCATTAAAAATGGTATATGACCGCTGTCTTAAACTGCCCCATTAGGATGTCTCTGATTTGGAAATGTACCATTCAGAAATAATCTCTTAGAAAATGTGCACGTCTTTGGGTTTTATGACAGTCGAGATGTCATCTGCATAACCCCTTTCTGAAAAGGCATCTGTAGCTTGGTGCTTGGCAGAGGTTTCCTGCTTCGCCTGACAGAAAGAGCGGAGTCATTAAGGTTTTGGTACTCCAGATGCTTGTTTGCCAGTTGCTGATTTGGAGGCCTTATTCTCAGCTGAAGTCAGTCAGGGTAGCTTGACTGGTCTCAAAAGAGTCAGGCACACAGACATCAATGGGGGACGTGTCCTTTTAGTGTCCATTTGGGAATACATTATCATTTTCTTCTTGTCTCTTTTTACTTTCACTCTGCTGAGGTGCTCACCTTGAAATTTACTTCTGGATCAGAGGTCTCTGTCTTATAAAATTGCCTGTAATTAAGGTGGGATAAAACTATTAGGGTCATTTACTTCATCACCTCATTTTCAAGGTGAACATACCAGTTTGTATTCCAACATGCTCAAAGTTCACGTTCTAGGTCCAACCTACATCACAATCCCAAGTATCATGTTCATAGTTTAAAAACAGACCTTTGTAGTAATATCTTTACTTTTGAATCCCAAAATTCAAGTGTTTTTCTGCCTGACTCCAGAATTGCAACTCTGTAGATGGCTTCAATGAGCGATACCCCCAAGGACCCAGGCTTGTCATCGGCATCGTCCGCAGTGTGTACGAAGGGAATTACACTTGTATTGTGACATTCAAGGACCACGGAAGAACCTACAATCTCACCAGAACCATAAAGATGAAGGTGGTGGGTAAGAATGACTTTAAACTGTGTAAAAGGCAGGTGGATAGCTGCAGAAGTGGTGGAAACAGCTAGAAGAGTGTCACAAGATCCATCTGTGGTTGTGCTCAGTCTGCATTCCCCAACTGACCTGGTGTATTTTGGCTTGCTGGGGTCAGTCTCGTGTGACTGCCCAGGACATATTGCACTGGAGATGCTACCCGCTACCATGTCAAATGCCCCAGACACCACAGAGGATGGCCAGGCTTAGGCTGGTGAGGCACAGCCCATGAGATGGCCAGGGGTACCCTCTGCTGGCACACGAATGCATAACCCTGGCACTCTTGCTCCTTTTTGTCTCCAGTGCCCTTTGCTTGTCATTATTTGTAGGGTTTTCCTATTATAGCCAACTTGTCTCAGTCTTCTTGCTGTCTCAAAGCCCCATGTGCTGAGGCTGAGACTGTTAATTGGTCAGGCAGGGCTCCAGTTACCCAACCCAGTGCTTGGACAGGTCTGTCCCAGGCACAGGAGCTCAGTCTACCTGCCAGGGAATTGTAGACAGAGCTTAAAACATAGCGAACAGTAGAGCACATGCTGAGTCCCATGGCAACTGCTGCTTTAAGAGCTGAATTAAATACTTGCAACAGGCTATGATGTTTGTGTTTTGTTTTTTAGAAGCAGCAATAAGAAGCAACAGGTACGGGTTGTGTCTTGTGGGAGATGAGAGGAGTATGGAGCTCTTCTGATGTGAGAGGCCCTAAAACTTACGGAAACTTTGAAGGAGCGTAAAAATCTGGGTCTGGCCCTGAGTTTGGGGATTAGTATTAGATTCCTCTTTGCATGGAACTCTGCAGTAGGATTGTACCACAGGTTAGATTGGGGCACATGTAGTGGGGCATAAGGACATCATGAGGGAGGCTGCAGGGACCCCAGGTTCTCACGAAGTCCTGGTCCCCATGGAGGGCTCTCTGTTTTCTCCCGCAGGATCTCCAAACAAGGCCTTGCCACCACAATTCGTCTCTCCAAATGAGAAAGTTGTCTACGAACTGGAAGCAGGTAAATAGCAGTGCTTGCTGCCTGCTGTCACTGCCCTGGCAGGATGGGAGACGCAGGCAGGCACAGCAGCTCACCCCTTCCACTGCATCCCCTGTGCTTTCCCTTGCAGAACACATGAGCTGCCACAAGTTGCCTGTCTGACACTGTGGGGTGCCAGTTCTCAATGCCAGAGTAAGAGAGCACAGCTTTAAAAGTTCATTTTTGCAAGCAGAAATAAATATAGATATTCAAGTGTGGAGATGCAGAACTGCAGCTGTAGAGGAAATGGGCACCCTCAGCTGCTTAGAAAAATTCCTGTAGGGCCTTGTCTCAGCCCTGTCCCTGGCTGGGGTTTGCTCCAACTCTCCTTCCTTCAGCCTCTCAGTGGCTTCAGCCTTCTGGGCACTTCTTGCTCATCTCCTCTCCCTTTTTGGCTGATTGCTTCCTAATTAATGATAGCTTTCCTTTTGCTGGCCTCACAGCACTGTGTAATGGGGTACCAGACTGCTTCCCCCACCCCATCTGTTTAGACTGAGAGCTCTTTGGAGTAATTCTCTATATTGAGTGGATCACGTCCCATTACGTTGCTGCAATAAATGTGATGCCAACGATGATGATTAGCAGCAGAACCTTCACTTTAAGGCACAGCTTTTTTGGCTCAGGAGGTCAGACTTCTTCCATAGTCACTCTATAAGATAAAATCACTTACGGGCTGATCACAAAGTTATTCACACTCCCAAGTCTGATCTTGAGGGGAAGTTAAATGCCTGAATACGTGTTCCCACACCAAAATGTTTTTGTGGAGCTGAATCCTTCGCCTTATGACATTTATTCCCTGTGCAATGGGCATGATCACCACTGCTTGGCTTCCCAGAGAAGTGATTGGCATGGAGCATCTCCTTTCTGGGTGGGTCACTTGATGCAATCAAAGAATTTGTAACACATTTAAGAAGGCGGAATACTTTTTTCTATTTATTTGTCTGTCATAAATCAGCGTGTCCAGGTTGTTAAACTGTTATCAGATGTCTGAAGGTGGATGTTCCAGAAGGGCGGCAGAGCTCAGGCTCTGGAGCACTGGAAAGCACAAAAGTCAGGGTGATGCCGTTCCTGCTTTGCAATACCTCACCATGGTCCTTTCTTCCCAGGAGATGACCTTGTTCTGTCCTGTGAGGTCTTCTTCACCTTCCTGAAGGACTCCCGAACTGAGGTGTGGTGGACCATAGATGGTAAAAACACAGATGATATCATGGACACCAAGATAAAAGTCACACAAAGGTAACATAGTGACATGAACCTTTGTTTGTATCTAACCCTCTCCTGGGCCCTGCAGAGGTCTATGGCTGCAGACATACAACAGTCCTGTTTTCCTTTGCAAGGGATTGCAGAGTCCTCACAGTTTTATTTAGAGGAATGTTCCCCAATAGTGTAAATGATAAAAATGTTTCAAAAAACAGGCTGAGAACAAAAATGTAGTCTTATAGATCGTATTGGTTAGGAGGAATAGAGATTCAGTTAGATGGAGAACTCAAATGAGATTGAGTGTCCTGTTTGCTGGGTTTTGAATTGCACATGGAAGGCAGTTGCTGTTCCAGTCAGTTGCAAACCTATGTAGAAAAAGAAAAGACAAAAAGAAATAAGGTTACTCCTATTTCGCAGATATCAGTTCAGGCAGAGAGAGACAAAGTGCTCACCCAGGACTGCACAGGGAAAGTGATGTGGGCTCTGAATCCTGAGTTCATGAGATCTTCCTGCTTGGTAGGCAGGAACTTCCTTTATATCTAAAATGCAATGTAACGCAGCTACAATGAGAAAATTAGGAGTGGCAAAATAAATATTAAGGAAAATCAGATAAAGGAACAGCTGCAGCTGTATTAAAATCTGAAGTGTGTATCGATTTATAAATATCAATTTAGGTGTTATGCTTTAAAAAAAGAGTTGGGTTACATCAGGGTAAGGAGTATTTGTCACTGAGAACTTGCTGTGGTTTCATACCTGTAATACTCTATTTTCTCTCTTACAGTGAAATTACTAGAGATTTTGAAGACAAAACTGTCATAAGGACTCTAACAGTTGCAAAAGCCACATCAGAGGACTTGAAACGGAATTACACGTGCTATGCCAGAAACGCCAAAGGCGAGGACCACAGCCAGGCCATAGTGCGAATAAAAGGTTAAATACTTGCATGGTGTATGTGAAATAGTGTAGATGTGTGAGGTTTTCTGATTAAGGTGGATATTTCCACCCCATTATCATCCTCATCTAAATCTTCAACACCTGCTTGCTGTAGGTCAGACCTCCTCTCTCCCATAAGGGATGCCTGTGTTTGTTCTACATATGTGATTCTTCCAGGATGATAATGTTTGTCCATGTTGTAGAAGCAAATCTAAACTCTTCAGATTCTTTCTCTGTCCAGCAGTGCCTAAATGCTGTTTTCCTGTGTCTGCTCCTGGGCAGCTGAGTGGGTTTGCTCTGAGCAGACCTGGTTGATTACCGCCCCTCCTTTCTGCAAAATCATTCAGTATCCATCCCTGACCACTGCTGTCAGGGGAACCTCAAGCTAAGCTCATTGCAGACCATCCCACTGTGCATAGGAGCATTAAACATGCCAGAACATAACCCTTCAGCACTTGTCTTCCAGTTTTTAGCAAGTAGCTGTATATGTTGGCTCCAACTTTTTCATTACATTAGGTTATATATGTTTCTTGCTTTTTCTGGATGATTTCCCTCTCCTCATGTACTTCTGCTGCTCATCACCTAATGAAAGTTGCTAAATTCCTTCCATTTTCTTTTTTTTCAAATTCAGTTTCTAATAAAACTCATCAAATCTTGAAATTTGTCAATATTTCCACTCACTGCTCTTCATCTACCGTGCAGTTTGCCAGTATGCATGTCAGCTGAATCACCATAAAAACGGAGTTGTCCAGGGATACAGTTAGAAAACTTATTTTTCTGTCCCTAACACAAAGAAACAGCAGTGGTGTGACATGCACTGTGTGAGTTGGAGGGGGGCCTGTGATGTTCTGGCTCAGCGTCCACAGGTTGTCCTATTTGTTTGCAAGCATTTCAGCTTTGCTGGAATGAACTCTGATTCCTCTTTCCTAGTAGAAAATGATCAAGCAAAAGATGCTCCTCTTTCTTTTCAAACCCAGTAGTAGCACCAAAGTACACCGTGGAGCTGGTCTGTGGCCTGGGGGCAACCATCCTGCTTGTTGTGGTGCTGATCGTCATCTATCACGTTTATTGGCTTGAGATGGTCCTCTTTTACCGGGCGCATTTTGGAACAGATGAAACCATTCTAGGTAAGGAGCTAAAGGGCTTGCATTTATTTTATCCTGCTACAGGCCAGACCCTTCATTTTTGTATAGGAATTTTTATATAAGCTATTTTTAACCCTCTTCACAGCACAATGACATTTTGACTTTCCATTTCTATACCTGCATTCAGTTATGTGGGTCATTCTAGAGCAAAAGGAGTCAGGCTTGGGTTAGGGGAAAGGAGAGAGAAGTCCTCTATATTCTCTGCAGATGTGAAGCATGGACATGTTGGGCACCCTGGGGTGCTGCCCTGCTTATGACGAGCTGTTTTACCTGATCTAGACGGTCAAGATAAGCCATCAGGTTTCAGAAAGTCCCTGGTTTCTCTGGTGACTCTGTGTAAGGCTTCACAAATCCAGGGTAATTTGTTTTAAAATGTGGGAAGGCATCCAAAAGGATGGACCTGGAAATCACCCTTCTGTCCTCAGTTCTTCCACAGCTTCCCTACATCACTGAGAATTCATCTCTTGGGACTCTGAGCTGAGATTTCTTCCTGTATGGGATGAGGAGCCTTCACAAGTTGTGGTGTGAACCTGTCAAGGGGGTGCGGTGGCTCTCGGAGGGCGTAGGCAGGGTGCAAGTCTCTGTCTGGTGGGACTGCTCCTGTGGATAGACAGCAGTGAGGGGAAGCAGTATCGGGGATGTCACAAGACAAAAGGACTCTGGACAGAATGGATTGGTCAGCTCGCTGCAGTCTCACACCTTCAAGGACCTAGCAGTGTCTGGGTACCTGCACATTCAGGCTGCATAGTCAGAGAGGCAACACTGCTGTCTTGTAACTATGGAAATGGATGTGCCTTAACCCGCAGCGTCTGGGCTCAAAGCGAGCCTTTGGATCTGCTTTTTGCATGAAGCAAAGCTCAGCATGTGCAGCATCACGAGTGTCTCTTCTGCCGTTTGTGTTTCTCTGCATTCAGACGGGAAGGAGTACGACGTGTATGTGTCCTACGCACGCAACGCGGAGGAGGAGGAATTTGTGCTGCTGACGCTGCGGGGAGTCTTGGAGAATGAGTTTGGGTACAAGCTGTGTATCTTCGACAGAGACAGCCTCCCAGGGGGAAGTGAGTATTTCCCAGGGCACTGTGCTCCATGCGTGTCCTCAATTTATTGTTCTTTGAGGTACTAATATTGATAGAAATGGGCCTATCCAGACTAACTTTATCCTTTCTTTTTTTCCCCATCTCCATTAATGATCCCCTGTTGTTATTTTCTAATGTTTTTGCTTTACGTGACAATGTCGCAGATGCTCCAGGCTTCCCAAAAAGGCTGTGGTGGGCAAGTGGTGGTTGTTGGTTGTTTCAGTTGCTCTGTGCAGGAGTGATTGATCTATCAACATGAGGGAACCTTCATGCAAACCCTCTGAGCTGCCTTAAAAAAAGTCAGAACTACAAAGAAAAGACGTGGGTGGGAAGGATGAGACTGGATCAGACTGGTAGCTCACAGAGAGTAATGGTGAGTGCCTGTAAAAAACAGGAGTGTCTGCTTCAGAGAGGTGTGGAGAGCACCATGCCAACATCAGTGAGAAGATAACGTGCCCTCCCAGAAGGCCTCCCACTCACCCTCATTAATTAGAGAGTCTGTGTCTAACATGGCATGCAATTAAGTTGCTGTGATTAAGAGTACTTTGGTGCAGGTAGTGAGACTCATCTCCTCATTAAAACGTAGATTTTTTTTTTTTCACTGTTTCCAGTGTAATCGTACAAGGTTCTGGACACAGTGTGTGAGGGATGCAGGGAGTCACCAAGACTGGAAGTTTGCGAAACTCTCCAGAAATGCTCACAGTCACACAAGTGCCAAACAAGGGCACAAATTTAGCCAGCACTCCAAATTTCCGGTGTCCTGGGGGCTGCGTTGGCTGTGTCATCTCTGACGCCTGCTCAACGCCTGAACTTTTGCCAGTGCAGACTGCCCCACTTTGAATTCACACATCACCCTCCTGTTCCCTTTGCTGATTCTTGCCATCCTTCCTCTTTGGAGGGTCTCATTTTCCTCCCAGCATAGCTCTCCCGGTCTCCTGGAGCACTCCCATCCATGCTCACCGTGGCAGTCACCACCAGCATCAATCCAGCACTGGAGCACTGCCGGAGTGGCTCATCATTGCACTGCTGGGGCATCCCCATTGCTTCTTAGCTGGGATTTAACTAATCTCCTTCCTGAGGAAGCAAGGCGGACCAGGAAATAGCTTTTGGCAGCTGGTTTCATGCCTCCAGAGTGTGCATCTGTGTCATGGGTAGAGAGTTATGTTGTCCTTCATGAAGAAACAGTAGGAGATGGATTATCCTGTGAGTTTGCTGACAGGAGCTAATCAAATGTGCTTGACAGCTAGATGAAGTTGCCTGTCAGCGTTATTTTATTCTCTCTTGTATTTTCTGACCAGTCAAGAGCGTTCCCTTGTCAATGAATTGTGAAAGGTGCTGCAGCAGAGAGGGCAAGCGCTGGGATTCACACTTAAAAGGAATTTTCACATTAATTACAGAAAGGTGCCTAAGGACAGTCTGCCTGCAGGTGTTAGCAAATCAAAGAGGATCCACAGTTACCATGACATGTCTCCAGCTTGAAGGGTGTCACTTTTAGGACACTTCATTAAAAGTCCTCAGAGCAGTTTACTTGTCACTTCGAGAAACACTCAAATCTGCTTTCATCGGTGACAGCAGCAAGGACAGCTGGATGAGTAACAGGAGTTAGGGTGGGGGTATTTCCGCAGCAGATTAACCCGTGAGGACACTCAAGGAGGGTGTAAATACTTACTGTGTGTGCTTGGCGTGGGGAAACTGAGGCAAGAGGTGCAAAGAGATTACCCAGAGTCATTCTGGACATCTGCCAGTGGAGGATGTAAGTGTAGGCATTTGGGCTTCCCAACGCCTCCTCAGGCTCAGTCTTTTCCTTGAGGCTGTGTGTTGTCCAGCTGGTGATTTTCCTGCTTTTTACCACTCACCAGAAGGAAGCCAAATCTGAGCCTACCAGAGCAGCCCTCTTGGAAACGCATCTGTAGGCAGCTTTGAGCTGAGAGTAGAAATGTCGCTGTATAGGGCAGTGGGTAGCTGCCGTGGTGTAGGAGGCCCTACCTGTAGAGAGGGCCTCCAAGGGATTTTATTGTCCCTTTCAAGAGACGCTTGGTGTCACACAAGCAGCTCCGCAGCACGTTCTCAGCCATCTCTAACCACCTCAATGTTTCTTTCTCCCAGTTGTCACAGACGAAACCCTGAGCTTCATCCAGAAAAGCCAACGTCTGCTTGTTGTCCTGAGCCCCAACTACGTCTTGCAGGGGACACAGGCCCTGCTGGAGCTCAAGGCTGGCCTAGAGAATATGGCCTCGAAGGGCAGCATCAAAGTCATTCTAGTGCAGTACAAAGCCATCAAGAAGAGCAAAGTGAAGGAGCTGAAGCAGGCCAAGGCGGCCTTGTCTGTCATTAAATGGAAAGGCGAGAAGTCCAAGTTCCCAAAGGGCAGGTTCTGGAAGCAGCTGCAGGTGGAACTGCCAGTGAAAAAAATGAACAGGAGATTGAGCTTTGATGGGCTCATGCGTATCCCTGAAAAATGTTTGATACCATCAGAAAACAGAAAACAGACCCCCAAAATCCATGGGTTAGGCAAGGGAGTTGGCAGGAACTCAGGGTTTTTGCCATGAAGAACTGTGTCCCAAGCATTTCAGAGGACAGTCGTGCCTTCCTGCAGCTTTTATTTTATACTTTCTCTTCTGCCTTGGCAGTAGAGAGACCAAAGATGCTCACACCTCCTCCCTGCAAATGCACGTCCTTGTCATCAACCACATCCTGGGTTCAAGGTCTAATTTTGGGGTATCCAAGTGGGATGCAGCCAGTACCTTGTGATAACATGGTATTTGTATAGGCCAGTACTCTGCAATCCAGTTCCTGTGGGACCTTCATTAGTATCCAGGACAGAGCTCCTTTCCACTCCTGATTGGCTTTGCTCCCTCACTCCACGGTTCCTGTTGCTGAGGCTGGGGAACAGTTCGAAAGGTGGCTCGGGTACAGTGCATTTCCACATGTCCCAGATCACTGATCTCATCCCGTCACTGTGGGATCACAAAATGCTTGGGTGGAGGAGCGTGGACTCTTGAGGCTCCTCGTCTTTGCTCCCTACATTTCTGTAGGAGCAGGTGCATTCAGATAGTTTGGAAATGTGAAATGGCTGTTAAAAAAAGAAAAAGCTCTGCAAGGTGATATTTGTACTGTAGCATTTCTCCTAATGAGTGGTCAGTCTCTGGGACTCTGCAGTCTCTTGAGCAGATCCTTCAGGGCTGTAATGCTCCTAATCCAGGGGAAACCTCTCATTAGTGCAAGCCATGAAGCATGGCTGGGAGATGCTTCTTTGTGTCGTGATTTAGAGCTGGGCCGACCACTAAATCCTGGGCAGACGCTCTCTAT